AATTAACCCTGAAGGGCTGAGGTGCTGATTGATTGGTCGGTTGATTAATTAATTGGGTGGATGCGGACCCTTGTGCCTCTATAAGCCACTGGGGTGAAGGGCTGTGGGTGCTGCTGGTGTGTTTGGAGGCTGCTCTTGTGCTGGTAATTAATGTGGGGAGCAATGTTTTGGGGATGGAGGTGGTGGGGGAGCACCAGGGGGGTCCTGTTCCAGTTTGGGGGGGCTCCTGCAATGCAGCACTATGTGCTCCTTCCCCCCAGGTACCCCATAGCCATGTCCATCACAGACAGCGTCGACCTGGCCAGCAAATCTGAGAAGCCTGTGTCTATGATTTGGGGTAAGCGCCTGCCCTTCCAGCAGCATCCCCATGAGTTGCTGTGTACCCCTCCCCAAAATCTGCCCTTCTCTCATCCCCCTCTGCATTTGCAGGGTGTGAGCTGAGCCGTGAGCGGGACTCCTACACCTTCCAGGTATCTGAGGAGTGGCAATGCGAGCAGCAGCTGGCCCTGCGCACAGTAGGTGGTCCCTGTCCTCCCAAAAAATACCCCCAAAATCCTAGGAAAGGGATGCCCAGATGCCATAGGGCTCATGGAGGGCTGTTCTTCTTGCTCCCCCCTCAAAGATTTGCCTGGGGGAGACCGCACGGGACGAGTTCCACGTGGTGGAGGTCGTGGCGGCCGAGGAGGGGGACGCTCGTGCCCCCGTCCCCTTGGCCACGCTGAAGCCCTCGGTGCTGCCCATGGTGAGTGCCTGGGTTTGGGGGGGTGTCCTGGGGGGGTTTGCTGGTGATGGGGGGCGCTGTCACCCTCCTCTTTGCCAGGCCCCCCTGGCGGGAGTGGAGCTGACCCCCCCGGTCACCTTCCACCTGCGCACCGGCTCCGGCCCCGTCTACATCAGCGGGCAGCACGTTTCCAGTAAGTCCTGGGGTGCTCCCAGTGTTCCCAGTATGTGAGCCCACTCTCTGGAAGCTGGGGGCTCAGCTGCCTTCTCCCGCAGTGATGCCCAACCTGTCCTGGGAGGAGGAGGAAGAAGAGGAAGAGGAGGATGCTGAGGAAGAGGAGGAGGAGGAGACCCCTGAGAAGGCCCCCAAGGGCCCACCTGCCAGGAAGGGCAATGCTGCCAAGGTACCCCCTCCCTTGGTCTGGGGTGCGAGGAGGGGTCCCTGTGCCATGTGGGGGGAGGATGCAGCCTCCAGCCTTCCTCTCCCACCAACATCTTCCTCTCTCCCCGCAGAAGAGGAGGCTGGACAAGGAGGAGGAGCCGTGAGTATGGAGGGACACAGCTGGAGTAGGAGACCCCCCTCTGCTGCTGGGACCCCCACCCCTAATCTCAGCCCTTCCCTTTTCTCCCAATCAGAAGCAACCCCTGTCCCGAGGAGCCCCTTCCCAGCAAGGTAAGAACCAGCCAAGGGGGTCCCTCTGCACCCCCCGGCCCCCTACCCCAACCAGTCAAACCAGTTAACACTCATTGACCTGAACTGGGAGCTCTGGGGGATGGAAAGGGGCTGATTTGTGATGCTAATTGGTTACCGAACCCCATAAATGGGGTCCTGGCTGGCTGTGACTGGGCTGGGGGGGGATGTTCCCCAAGTTTGGGGGTCCTCCCCATGCTCAGCCCCATCCCTACAGGGGCGAGGATCTGGCCGGGGCAGGAGGGCAGGGATGAAGAAGTAATGAGAGCTGTGACAGAGCCTGGCCAGGTATGGGGTGGCGGGATGGGGTGGGGGGCTCCCATGCGTGCCACCATCTCCCCCAAAGCGGGGCTCAGTGGGGATGCCCCTAAACCCATTCCTCCTTCCCTTCCAGGTGCAGAAAAGCCTGGAAATCTGCACATTTGGTGTCGTCCTTTCCCAATAAAGGAGATTTTGCATTCCTCGCTGTCTCTGCTAAAGATGGGGGGAGGTTCACGGGGGTGGGAGCATCCCCCATCCCAACCAGGGGATGCTCCTTTGCCTGCATCCTTCCCTTGGGGCTGGGGGAGCCGCTGTAGCCCCCTCCCCATGCCGGGTAACAAGTGTTGCTGGTGAATAGGAGACAAAAGGGGATTAGGGAGCAGCGGGGAGACAATTATAACCCATTGACCTGGCCTTGGCTGGGGGGGGCAGCAGGTATTTGGGGAGGGGGGTGGCTGCTGGGTCTCAAATTGGCTCTGGGAATGGGAGCTGAGCCCCCCACCAAGGCAGGGTTCAGGCTGCTCCAGGTATGGGGATGCTGGGGCTGGGAAGGGG